GCTGATGAGCGCTCGCGAAATTTATGGTGCCATTAAATTCTGCTACTTACGTAGCCAAAAGTGCCAATATTACGGCGAAAAGCAACCCTTCTTAAATCTAAAGCATGCAGTAATATACGTTTTGCGCAATATAAATTCCGCTTACACGTAATTTAAAAACGCAAAAGACAGAAGATTAATAATTATAGCAAAATCTTAGTATATATTCGGTCAGCTTTTTTGCATTCGGAAGCTTAGAACGGATCCTGAAAGTAAATACTCCAATACTCCTATATAAATAGAAAAGTGGGTTCTTTCATTTCCAGATAAATTGTATCATTTATTTTCAGGTAAATTTTAAAAAAACTTGTCAAATTTCACTATTTTCATTTTAACATTACCTTAAAAAAGGTAACATGCACGGATGTTTATCAGCTGAGTATTCAATAAAAAAGTTTTTTATAGGTTACCTATTATAGAACGTTTTTTATTAATATTAGGGTAAAAATATCAAACTTCTGCTGTGGAAGTATTATTTGCTCAACAAAGTTTTTTTTTGGAAGAATTTCTAAATATGACTCACATGGCCATCTTCACAAGAACTAATATGAAAAACTCATCTCTCGGTATATGCTTCTAATAGATATCTTATTTTAAAGGTTTTTATATGAACATCGGAAAGAATCTATGTTTATGTAATAAAGCTTGAAAACAGAGAAAATCGACCAAAATTTGCCGGAGGTGATTGTAATTGAATAAAGACAATATGCATAAATAGTTTGACAAAGAAAAAGTTTTTGACATAACGAAAGTGATAAGATTATAAATTTAACTAACAATAAAATTTAAATTTATTGTTCGAAATTGTAGTTATTATTACGTCTCCAGAACTTGAGAATTTTTAAGAAAATTTTATTAATCTTAACAAACAATCACTACTTGTTATATTTCTTTAAGCAACAAATTTGCCTAAGGTTGTTCATTATTATTGCTAGGCTTTCGTACATGCGTTCATGCCGGCGTGCGAGTGATGATAAATCGTTCACAAACATCGGCATCTTGCATGCAGCCCTCGCCATACTGTACTTGAACGGCGGAATGAAAGTCGTAGGTTTCGACCTCGGTTGGCAAGACTTCCTGAACAGTTTTTCACAGGTGTCCAATTCACACAGTGATATTGATCTGATTTTAAAATTCTGCAAAGCATGGCTGACGTTCGAGCTCATGGGAAAGCCAGAAAAAAACAGTAACCGTAATCTGCATTGCACCAACGGAAAAATTTCCTCGTCAGGAGGAGAAAGAGGACACAACGATCGTACCGAATTTCTGCGACATAGTAGTGGGGCGGCTGGTCGAGGTTTCGATACGTCGGAGTGACTACAGTGTTCACATAGTCCTCATCCCTAAATTCGAAGATAGGATGGGGCTGTTTACTGGTAGGTGGCGGCGCGGAAGAGGGCTCGTTACCAGTTGCTGCGGGGTCAGGTGGTAACTGGTTCATTCGAGGTAGAAGGCGACAATCACAGAGCTTGGGGCAGTATGAGTCGAGAGTCAGATTGACAAAACTCCAGTCAATGTCGAAGGTGTCTAGCACAAGGCGAGGGTAAAGAAATAAGAACAGATGCGTGTAGCATACAGCTGGAGACTGATGACAAGCCGTTACATGCTCAGCTTTGAGTTATTAGAAGCAAACTAACCTTGGCGAACTGGTACCACCAGGACTTGGTTGTAGGCTTGTTCGGGATCAAAGT